CGTTTGTCTATGTGCTGCTTCGGCGCAGTTTGTCGGGGGGCATTTGCTTTTCCATAGATGTGTCGACCCATCTAGGCAGCCGTTTCTCGAGTTGACACGTTTTAGGATAGTGGCTAGACGATCTTACTTCAGCTTCACAAGAGTTCACAAGTTTTACCAGAGTGAGATTTGTAAACCGGAACTAGGGAAGCAATGATAATACAAAATGCCCCCCCCCCCGTCGAGAAACAGCGCCATCCTCAAGTAATGACGTGCCCCGGTTAGTCGCTCGTTTTTGGTAGAATGTGGTCGTTTTTAAGAGAATTTTCTCAAGCGGCAGGACGCGTTCTTTGTAGAATGGCTGAGTCTGCCTGGGATCCCTGTCTGATGGGTATAATTTAGGGGACTAGAGAATTTCGGCGTCCGCTTTGAAGTACAGAGCAGTATTTGATGTTCATTTGATTGGGGCATCGAATGCTTTTTTGGAATTCATCGTGTTTGCGAGAAATTCTGCAAATTAGAAAATTGATTCGAAAGATCTACGGGTGGAATCGAGAAACTAATAATTTTTGCTTGCTGTGGAATGCGGCTCTATGTAGAGGCCTGTGATTACAAGGCATTACTGTAAGACGTACTTCTTCTTCTCGTAGCAGAATCCATCCGCGTTCTTTTCTTCAACAAAGCAGCTCTTCAGACAGCCCGCGAACTTCAGTACCGCCTCGCCGATCGGTCTGAAATGACATGGAGGAGAGGCAGAAAACAAAAGAAAAAACTCATAATTCATCCTACCGTAAACTGGCAATGGCACCTCTCCTGATCACTTCAGCTCGAATAGTGATTATAGCATGTTCACCTTCGTTGAACATTTTCTTGAGATCGATCTTTTGGGTCTGCGGCCCTTCTTGTGATTCGACGCAACTGGAAGATACGCCTACTTACATTCCAGACTTCGTTAAACTAGTTGGCTATTGGATTGATACTATTGACCCTTCAGCGTTCACACTTCGCGACCGATCGCGAGCCAGTGGCCGTCGCCGCCATCGTCGGTACTCGTCAGAGAGCGCCCCAACGCTATTACTTGAACCGCTCCGAGTGCCATTAGGAATGACTGAAGAATGATTTCCTGCCTTTTTTCTTTTAATTGCAACTGCTGAGGTACTAGAGCTCGTTTTGACTCAAGAAAAGGTGGATGGAATTTACCAGCTTTTTTTCTAGTTCCTTTTTTGATTCAGGATAGAAATGAGCAAAAAGCGAGGAGGCTTCATTTAGAGTAAGTTTCTTATTGTTTCTTTTTTCATTCTTCGAGCTTATACATGAAGTTATAAAGTTTTCTCCTCCTTGATGTTGCATAAAAGAATTAGTGTTTTGATTCCTAGGTGAGTTCCTTTCTATTTTTTTTCGTTGTCTGAACTCTACCTGTAAACTATAAATGTTCTGAGGTGTGTGGCGATTCTATCGTCGACGATAAGTGGGTCGTCGCGCCGGTGGGCGGAGCGAGGCGGCGTGGCGGCCGCCGCGTACGAGTTTAGTTGCGTGGCGTTCGGGTTGACGATCCCTTCAACAATGTGGAAGATTTTGATTATACCTTTTCCTATTATGTCTTTCTTATCCTGTTTCCTATTTTCTTGTTATGATTATTACTGAATCGTGAGTTATACCTTGGAATTCAAAACCATTTTGGTCGGCCCCCCAAGATTTCCAGTGTTCTCCGATCAAACTTTTTGGTACACTCACTCGAACACAAAAATAGGGGATTTCGTCGATTTTACCTTCATCGCTGGAAGTTCTTGTGCGACACATAATCTGATGAATCATCGTGTGAAAAAGATCTTTATGCGAAAAGGATATTTCCTGAGAATAGTTTTCAAACATAGTAATTTTTACAAAGTTCTTGCTTTTGTAATTACCTAGTGCTGTTTCATACTGATAGTCGTTCCGCCTAAGCTCTTCACAGCTTTCCAAAGTTGTGACAGGGCTACTTTCTCTATAAAGTTGATGTTATGATATTTTCAGACATACAGTCCTCATCATTGCGGACCGGTGGGGCGTGTCAGTGCGGCTGCGTTTGGCGCGGTGCCAAAGTCGTTCTGCACCAGTTGTTGAAGCGGGCAAGTGACATTACTGTATTATATCCTTCGTATTACTCGTTTTCTACCACTTTTTGTCGCATACGCGTTTCAACAAAAGGCTGAGAACGGCTTCAACAGTGTGCACACTCATACTGGCTGACACGCCCCACCGATCCGCAATGATGGGGACCGTAAGTAGGCAATATGATATACGCGCTATGCCAACTTTCGTTCTGATTAAAGAAGGCAGAGAAATGGAACGAATTCAGGGAGCAAATCCGCAAACACTATACTTAGTTAACAGTAGGTATGTATATCCCTTTACTTATTCTCTAGTGCTCATTTCTTTATTTCAGGCACTATTCTTCCGCAACATCGAATCCAAATGCTGCCAGAGACCGTGAAAAGTTCCTCCCCTTAGGAGTTTGTACCTTATGTTAACAAGATGTGTTCGTTTTTGTTACTGCTCAAAGGTCCGACAACACTATGCAGTTCTATATTTAGGTGAAACTTTATTCTGATATTGTTTACAAAACCCTTGCAATAAGTTTGATCCCTGCTGACGATTCGCGACAACAAGCTACTGATGAGAATGGTGTTCTTAACCGCTTCAAGTTGGCGAAAGGTTCTGTCATCTTCATCTCTAACGTTATTTTGTACGCGTAACATTTCGGAGCTATACTGCACTCTGATCATAAATAAACTTTTGTGGGAGATTGATTAGCCGTTCAACCGATGCATTCCTAATTCCAAATAAGTGATTGCAGTAGTTTGAGATTGGTTCTAACGCTTTCGTTATTTCATGACTTTTGTCGAGTGAATTAGGAGGGCCATATGCATTTCCTTGATTATTTCCCGGCACTAGAATTTGATAGCTAGGAAATTTGTGTATAATCGTAATTCCTTTGTAAACAAAACAGTGTACCTCTGTGAAAGTAGCGTTATTTGTCTTACAGAATAAGGATCCCCGAATTCATTTTACAATTGAATTACGTCCCTAATACGATTCTGAATGAAGTTGAGCGGTTGTCGTTGTCAAAATCTTCATTCATCAACAAAATGATGAACTTCGAAGTTAGCACCAAGCGTAAGTTATCTTTTTGGGAATTATTTCGGTTTATATGCCTTTTGAATGTTTTCAGAAATTGGTGTTGATCTCACCGCTTTTGGTGCGCCCTTCATATTTCTTAGTATTTTGATGTTTCTTGATGCAGCACTGCTAGTTACTGGAAATGTGAGTTTTTCACTTCCTTTTGTTACACCTTTTTTTGCTAGCGTTCCCTGTCCCCCTACTCAAAACTGTTCCTCTATTGGTCAGCCAGTCTATACTAGTCTCTAGCACTGCTTGTACTGAGTTGTACGCTGGGGATGGTAAGGCGTGTCTGTGAGGCTGAATTTGGCACGGCGCCAAGTCAATTTTCCACTATTTGTTGAAGCGGGTAAGCGACTACAATCGGTGGAAGCACGACTGATTTGAAGGATATGATTGCTTCTTTGCTCGTTCCAACAAGCGGTAGAAAGTGAATTTGGCGCTGCGCCACACCCTTTCCTCAGGACACACATCATCATCCGCAGCACACAAGACTGTTCAGGCTATTTATTCAGTATATGAACAGAAGTAGTGAAGCTCTTCTATATTCTGCCTTTTGTGTCGTGAATGACACCTGTATTTACCATGATTTCTGCAATAAATAGTGATATCGCTTCTCTCGAATTAGAATACCTGCTTCACTCACAAGGGAACCCTAACAGGTCCATCCGCGCCATTTACATATGAGAGATATACGGTATGACGTGTTCTTGACCCCACTAATCCAAATCTGCCCTCTTATTATTGCGATACGATCTCTGAAAGTTTACGAACCACATTTAATCTTTCTGTTCACAAGCGCACAGATAAGACCAACATGTGAGCCCGCCATTTGCAACAAATTTACATCATCTTTACTCACCTTGCCACAGAGAACACAAACTATCTTTGAAATTGTCGGAAGCATCTCTATCTGTAGCAGTTGTGATGTTTTTCTTTATTCTTTGTCTTCTTTCCGCGGCGCGGCCAGCGACCCCAATAGTGTAGCACCCTGATAGCCGCAAATCTCACAGCTCTCTTTCGCGGACAAAACAGGGTTATCCATTTCTGTTCAGGCCGTACTAAATGACCCCCTGCGAGACGTCATCAGTCGGAATCGAGCGGCTTCTAACTCATTCGAGAATAATGAGGTTAATAATAGCTTTCGTCTGACTGGATAGCCAAAGCGATATCTACCACTACATACTGCATGATGATCTGTTTTCAAATAAATACCTCTCATGCCTTTTCGCAAAGATATTTACTCCGCTTTAACTTATCTTGCGTTTGCATCACCCGTCCTCTACACCGACGTAGTTCAATTCTTGAGACATCATCACAACGGTAGTCAGCTTCCCTAATGCTTTCAATTTACGCAAGAAACAGGCACACATTTTCAACGTTTAGCAGTGGAACATATCAGGATTCGGCTAGAAAATTTTGCCCCGAGTGTAGATTTGACCCGCCATGAACGTGAATATGATGTTATGTCATGCATCAAACCCTTGCTTGACATGTGCTTAATCCTCATAAATAAAAAATTCTCATAGAGACCTACATGAGGAATCGCACGACTTTCGTTTGCCAACTAATCAATGCAAAATTAGGGCGAAATGACGCCGAAATAGAAATTTCGGAGCCTGCTATACCAAGTGCTGCGAATGAAAAGGCAAAACAGCTATAATGCATACATCAAGAGTTGCGAGCGAGGTTCGACCGCTGACGTGGTTCTCAATGAAGCAATTCACTTTATCCACTACCATCCCGGGCTTGCGCATGCAGTATCCTTCTCAACTGAGCCATAACGAGAGCTAATGATTAGTATCGCCTGTATACTCTTCTTGAGGAGAATCGTTCCGCAAAATCGGAGCATGATTTGGAATTCGCGGCTCTCGACAGGCGTCCATATTATTACACCTCACTGTCAACATCACCGCACTCACCTGTCGGCTGGGTTCCACTTTCAGCTATTCTTCACGTTAACATCATTTTATTTTTTTATTATTAATGTAAACGACTGAGCAATGGACTCTTTCAAGAAGTTTCTTAAAAAGAATGAGGTCGACAAACTTTTCAAGTACTTGGTGGCAGCAACGTGACTTTGGTTCGTATCCTACGCCAACTATAGTTTCTAGAGCCGGTATGCTCACATTGCATATTTTGACATTTGCTATGGTTTTCTAAAAGAAGTGCACGTGCAATTCTTAGTAATTTCTTATTGTAGGTAGGTGGCACTGACCGCGTTGCTGCTGCCGACGTTGCAGCACAACCAGCAACAGAGCAATGAAACACCTCTAGGAAGCGGAACCTCAAATTATCAGCAGTCAGAAAAAGATCCAAGTGATTGTACGCTTTGCTTGCTTTTGCTTTTCGTGGAAATTCTCGCTTCAAAACCGTCTCTCTACCATTGTTTCAGTATAACTAGAAGCGCCTTCCCTTTTTCTCATCACTGTTATATCGCTAGGTTCCGTTTTTGACTGCTACATCTATGGGTACTGATTCTAGCAATTGACTTTTTGAGAACAATTGCCTATAATTCATAGAACGTTTGCCATTATTCATTTGAAGCCAGTTTTTAGTTCGCATCGTTTTTAGAGAAGTTGTTCCGTGGATGAGAATAAAGCTGTATTTCAATGCAATATTATCATAAAACATATGAGAGTTTTTTCAGTGATCGCTTATTTAACCCCACAAGGGAGACACTGCCACCGCGGTTCCCAATGAGTTTGTCATTTGTCACGCGGTGACAAATGCATGGGAATCCCAGAGTGAGGTTCTAAATTACTCACAACTATTCCGTGGTATTCTTGTCTCACCAGCAGATAGCAAGACAATGTTAGCCGTCACTTTTGTTTTCCCTGTGCCTGAGAATGCAGCTAGATTCTTGCTGACATTTGGTCCGAAAAAAGCAAGGTCAACTACAAGTGGAAACCTCCTGCTTTTCCAGCTCAGCAGCGATCGGAGGCAGATGACGTCATGGAACACAATGTCGGGATTCGTGTCACGTGTCAAGAAGGGCACTGTTGCTTTTGCTGCTTATGCTGCGGGCGTGTCAGGAGAGGTATTGGCTGGCTCGGCACCAGCCCGTTCTCCAACAATTGTTGAAGCGGGCAAGTGGCAACGACTGAAAGGAAAACAGGGCCGCTGCGCCAAATACGGCCCCTGATGCAGCATCTGAGAGCGGTAAGGGTGATACACGCTCAAAGCTTGGAACAAATGAGATACGTCCAAGAGATGATCTTTGAAAGTAAGACTTGCGTGGGTGACGGAATGCTGTATTTTCGGTTACGTGACATCTTGAACTTCTGTGCATGGTCCTGTTGCGAGGTCGAGAAAATGCTCGATGGAGCTCAAGTTGAAAAATCACATGACAACCCCCGTAGATGTGCCAGAAGAGGGGAAAACAGCACAGTAGGAATGATGCCAAGTACAGGCATAGAAACTGGATCACAATGACGGTGACAGAGAAAATTATTGGGAATATAGGGAGCAGTCTACGATGGGGTTCATGCAAAAAAATTACAT